CATTAAAAATCCACTAAAAGTGTAATCATTTTGTTATGTTCTTACACGAAGTAGACATAAAATATACTTTAAGTAAGGGTAACATAAGTATGTTTTCTGTAAATACACTAAAAAGTCACTAAAAGTATGCTTGTGTTTAGCATATTCCTTAAAAGTGTAACTAAAAATATATTTATTAACATAGTATTTCTACTATATTTTTAGAAATATACTAATAGTGTACTTGTGTTTAGCATATTCCTTAAAAGTGTAACTAAGCGTATATGTATTACCAAAGTATTTCTAGCATACTTTTTATAAATACATTAAAAGTATGCTTCTGTTTAGCATATTTCTCAGAAGTATAACTAAGCATATATTTAATACAAAAGTATTTCTAGTATACTTTTTAGAAATATATTAAAATGCAATTCAATATATTTTTATTGCACTTCAAATAAGCATGTTGGGAATACAAATGTATTATAAACATACTACTTTAATTTCAAGTATATTTTTAATACATTTAATACTACGTCTTTTTCACCTGGGTATACTGAAAAAGCAGCTTTATAATATACGAGTAGTGTAATGCTAATGCAATACAATTGAAATGTACTTGAAGTACATTAAAACGATGCTTCAAATATACTCTAACTGTAGTTCATGAAGTATTAAAAGGACATTTTAAATGTATTTTAAGAAATACAGTTAAATTGCACTAAATATACTTAAAGTGGTTCCAATTTAACACAATTTCAATATATTAAATATTAATATAACATAACATATTAAACTTAAACATATCTTGAAATACACTTAATATACTTAAAGTTGTTTCAAAATAATACATTTAATATGCACTTAGTATAGTATAATTTAAATATAGTAAGTATGTCTGAAAAAGCACAATTTAAATATATTTATTTTTCACCTGGGTGTATAGGGCCGGGCCACAGGAGTTGATTGACAGCTCTGCATTCCTATAGTTTCCACCCTCAGCGATTGTTCGCTGTCCTCCATTTTCTCCACGCTCGAGCAGCTGTAACATCAACAATGTCTCGCAAGCAATCCCGATGCTCTGTGTTTGGATGCAAGACTGAACATAAGAGTTTCAATTTTCTCCCAACATCTGAGCTGCTGAGGACGCTGTGGATTACTTTCATTTTTCAAGGTAATGCGCCTCAAAAGCTACCTAAATATGTGTATCACTCCAGACTCCTTTGTGAATGTCATGTCGTTATAGTGCTTAGCATTTTAACCATATTTGTGGGCTCGTACATTAAGTGTTTTTTAATTGATTAGGCACGAGCTCTGTAACATCGCACTGTTTTGTTCCACTTTCAGTGCATTTGGCTTCCCATTTGTACGGCTAAACACTGGTTCTCTCGCTCTCAGTTATGTTGCTTCTACCGGCTGTTCATTGCTGTAGATATGCAATGCAGAGAGACGTATATGTGACACCCTCTTCTGGAGATGGGGCAGGAATATGCATCTTATTTGCATTTAAAGTGATACACTCCAAAACAGCTCTTTTTTAGACACACCCCAAAAATTACATTTTCCAGCTGTTATAATAAATGATCTGTTGGTATTTTGGGCTGAAACTTCACAGACACATTCTGGGGACACCCAAGACCAATGTTACATCTTGTAAAAAGGGGCATAATAGGTGCCCTTCAAAGGTCCTTATTGGGGACTTCAATGCCCAACTGACGAAGAATCAAAAGTGTGCTCGGAGCCCATGCTTCTTCCAATCATTTCAGTGACAATTGTGAATGGCTAGTTTCGTTCTTTGAACAAAACGGGCTATGTGTCAGAAATACATACTTCCAACATCGACGAATCCACAGAGGGGACACAGTTGTCATCAGATGGGAGAACTCTCAACAAGTCGACTTTATCTGCATTAGTCAGAAATGGAGGTCTTCTCTGCACAATGCCAGATCATATAGGACAGTGGACGTAGGTTCGGACCATGATCTAGTCGGGGCTTAATCCCAGATATCAAAAACAGTCCATACCATATGTAATAGAAAAGCTCAAGGATCCTTCAAGTGCCTTCAACCTGGAGCTACAGAACCGCTCCAACCTGCTTGAAGAGGTAGAAAATGTGGAAAAGCTCTGGACCAAGATAAATGATAACATCAGAGAGTGCCCAAGATACCACTGGGAGACGCCAAGGACAACGAAAGGAGAAGTGGATCCAAGACCGATCGTGAAAGCTGATCAATGAATGGAAGATTGTAAAGCAAAATTGAGACCAGGCAATGGACGCCAACAGAAGGGAAGCAGGAAACCTGAAATACGCAGAACTAAACCGATTTGTTAAGAAAAGTTGTAGGATGAACAAGAAAGAATGGCTCCAGCAGAAAGGTTATGAAGCAGCAGATCTGAAATGACATGAAGACCCTCTATCGCATCGACAGAGAGTTCAACATCCTCATCAAAAGACAAAAAAGGGAGACTTCTGACCATGCTAGAGGAAGAAAACAAAAAATGGATTGAACACTTCTGGGAAACACTCAACCAACCAAACCTGACCACCACTTATGACTTTGACATGATTCAACAGGAGCTACCAGTGAACACTTCTTGTTCAGTGGTGATTACTTCTTGATCACCATTAAAAAAAAAATACATTGATCAAAAGCCTTAAAAACAACAAGATGGCTGGATTGGATAAAATACCTGCAGAGATCCTTAAACATGGCTGCCAGATAATGGCGGAGGAGCTTATTATAATACTCAACAAATGCTGGCGAGATGGAGAAGTCCCAGAAGACTGGCAAAGAGGAGAGATAGTCAAGATCCCAAAAAAGGTAACACCTTTGAATGCACCAATTGGTGAAGTACCACCTTACTCCCAGTACCCAGAAAGACATTCTGCACAGTCCTATTTTGATAACTGTGGAGGCCTTGGACCAATACCATATATAACCGTAATGTTGATATTATAAGTACACTCTAAAAGATACTGGGTTAAATACAACCCAGTTCTGGTTAAAGTATGGACAAACCCAGCGGTTGGGTTACTGACCAGAAGGTTGGGTTAAACATTTAACCCAACTTTTGGTTGAAAATAACCCAGTTGTTGGGTTTGTCCATATTTTACCCAGCATTTTTTTGAGTGTAAATATAAAATATAGACATGCATTTAAAAATGTATTACAAAAACATACAATATATAAACATAAAGATGTTTGGTGTGTGTGTGTGTGTGAGTGTGTGTGTGTATATATATATATATAT